CCCCCCCCTGGAAGCCTTTTGTAGAAACATGCTGCAATGCCCTCAGGACAAGTTACCTAGTTACCATACCAGTGTGCTGCCTATATTTAAGCTACCCTTATCAGTGATTACAGGTGACCCCTGCTGATTGAAACCACAGGGGATATGGAGTGGATTCCTTCACCCTCGGATAAAGCACCTTGGCAGCTACAGATTTAGTTTGAATGGATCTTTGTAGAGAGGTCTGCTCCTTCAGTACGTCACAAGACAAGTTCATTGTACAAAGCTGAGGAATTAACTCAGTTTGTAGACTTCTTTACAGCGGTAGAGGAAGATTATTAACTTAATTAAAGTGTAAAAATACTCAGTTATAAGTAATAGGCCTGCATTCAAAATGTTACTTAAGTAGAAGTAAAAAAATATTAGCTTAAAAAAAATACTTTAAAGGGTGACCTATTATGCAAAATGCAGTTTCTGATGTCTTTTATACATAAAGATGTGTCCCCGGTGTGTCGGGGAACTCACGCAGCGTCAGAAAATAAAACCCTCTCTCTTTTCCTCCGTACCCACATCTCTAAAAACGGGGAACAACGGAGCTGATCCAGATTTGCGTCCGATATGACGTAATATCTGAAATGTGGACCCACGGCCCAATCAGAAAGTTGCTATCAGAAACAATGCCCGACTGTTTTGGACGCAATATGGTCGGTGTTTACATTAGCATCGCTAACACTCAGAGCTAACCTGTACTGGAGAGCATGTGTGTGAAGAAGCAGGAAATAAAAAGGAACTCACCTTGTGGTATAACCGGCAAGAGAGAAAGCCTTTGAGCTCCATACTGTTTCAGAGATAATCCTTGATAATCCATGATATGGCGTTTCATCACGGCAGTATTTAGTTTAGACAGTAGCTGCCGGGTCCCGCATGAGCTCAGACCCCTCCTTTTTTTTGTATCAATTTTTTTTAAAGCTTTATACCCGAATCAGCACTTTAGAAACAGGAAGTGAAATAGAGGGATATGAGGTGTGCTAGAATGGGTGATCTGTTTGGTATTTTGAGCAAAACACTTCATAGACATGTTTTTTTATATATCTGAGACCTATGCTATTGCCTAAGAATAGCATGATAGGTGACCTTTAAATAAAAGTGTTCATTATGCAAAATGGCCCTTTTAAGCACTATATATCTTTCATTATGTATTCAAATGATTGATACATTCATGTGTTCGTCAGCATTGCGCTTGGTAAAGGTAGGGTTTGTTTGAATTACTTTATGCACTACTGGGTAACTTAATCTATAATAACATTTAATAATATGTGTCCATTTATATTTAGTATTAATAATCTAAATCTGCGAAGTAGCTTAATATGTCAAATACATGTTGTGGAGTAAACAGTATAAAGAAGCATAATGTGAAAATACTCAGGTAAAGTACAAGTACCAAATGTTTTACTGAAGTAAAGTACTTGAGTAAAGATAGGTAGCTGTTCCAGTCTAATCTTTAAACACGTGTTTATTTAAAGTCTAGCCAAGCAGAGAAACTTGTTCTTATGCTGCATTTCTGTTATGTGTCCCCCCTGTGCTGGGTCTCAGTGTTCATGTCAGGAAAGTTATTTGCAGCTGCATTAAAAACACAATTGACCGAAGCGCTCTTCACACATTCAAGGTCAATGTTTTTCAGCTTTTTCCAGCACATTTCAATTAGCGTATGTTCCGTCTCTGGGCTGAGGCTCCATGAGAGGCCGCGGGGGCAGGATACTGGAGGAGTTATGATCTAACGAGTGGCAGAGACAGTCGCTTTATCCTGAGACAGCAAGAGAACACCTTCATGGCCAATCAGGTCCGGCTAATGAGACAAGATGGGCCAGGACCGTGGCACAACCATTACAGCCACAGTCTGTCAGCACTTTGGTAATGAAGAGAGCACTGAAGGTAAAACTGTGTTAGGAAAGAGAACAAGCATCCATTTAAATTTGGAGGAAAGGGAAGTTTAGACGCAGGAGCATGACAGGAAGTGCTCAAACCATTAAAGAAACTTCCACACAGAAACCAGGATTTATTCTCTACCTGAGCTAAAGGCTTGTTATTTTTACCACAAGGTCATGTGGTCACTTTGGTTTGTTGTTTTTGTTTGTCTGCAGGATTACAGGCAAACTACTGGTATGATTTTCATGAAACTTGGTGGCTGTACCGTGGAAATCCCATTATATATTTAAGCGGATACAAATCACAAAGCAGATTAACGCATTATTTTTCACTTTCGTATCGCAAGATAGGATATTTAGCTTGGCCGGGATCTGCAAAATCTGAGAGTGACCTTTTTAGTTTTTTCTGCTTCGCTTTTTTTTAATATTGCAAAACAAAACAGTGTGGTACAACAATGAGAAGAACACCCAAGGACAAACAAAGTTACCTGACATGATACATGGATATATGTATTATGTAAACATGCATACTGTATTTGTACTGTATATGCAAACCAAAAGAAAATATTGAGGAAATTCATTATAAATATTTAGCAGTTACTGAGGATTAAATGACAGAGTGCTTAAGGGGACATCTGTTAAATAATGCATGCATGTAAATGTGTATGACTGTGTATAAGGGGGAAAACTAATACAAACATACAATTATTTAATAAATAATAAAACATGTATAATAAAATAATACAAATAAATGATTTGTGTTTTTTGAAATGTAATAAGGGGGTAATATTAAAGAAGGAATACGAAATCAATTCATATTTTGAAGTTAAGAAGTGTTACGTTAAGTAAATATATGCTAGTTTTATATCTTTGATCTTTTGAGTTTTGTTTCTTTTTTCATCTTACCATGCATGACATATTAAAGTATTACACAATATTAAATAATTAATTAAATTTGCCAAAATCAGGTGGGTTATTCTCAATTACAGTGTAATAAATACAAACGTTAATTAAAATGGCCTTTTCAAAAATAATGTCTTGTGCATCCAAATAGTAATTCCACTTCTCACCACCAGAGGGCAGACTCTACCTTCTAATGGAGCAGCGGTGTGTGATGGGGCAGCAGAGGGTGGCGCAGGAGCCGCTGAACATGCTGTACGGCAGCCTGGTGGATTTCTTTCAACTTTGAAGATTTTGGTTATCAGTGGATGCCAGACTCTGAGGCTGTACGGTCCTGATATGAAATTCCAATTTTGTCCTGTGGTGCTGTACATCCACGCCCAGCTCTGAGCCATATGCATGACATGATTCCCCTGCTCACCTGCGACATGTCGGAGCTGAATCCTCAAACAGCTGATTGTGGATCAGTGTCCCTCCTTCACTCACTCA